ATCTCAACTGAAAAAGCTGCAGAGTTGGCCTACCATAGACAAGCGGCATCTTCCCTCGACGCTCCACAACAATAAGGTGGAAAAGTAAGTAAAAAAGAAAAGTCATTATCATTTTGGGGGGTTTGGGTGTTCATTGACACGGCTCAAGGTTTGGTTCTGAGAGCATACAAGAGTTAAAATACAGCTGTTTGTAGTACCTTACTCTTCCTAGCCTCCTCCCCTTTTTTATTTTTAGTTTAGTTTTAGTAAAAGTTTTACGGCATTAATAAAACAAACAGGTCCTGCAGTTTGTCGGAGATCAGAGGTGATATAGGAGAGTGACATACAAATGAGAGAAGGAGGAGAGATTAAGGACCAAAGATGTTTGATAACAGAGAGATAGCAAACCATACCAGGCTCCCCACGCCGGGAACGAAAAAAAAAATCAAAATTTAAAAAAAAACAACCAACAATCAAACAAACAGAATTCACCACAAACCTCTTTTTCTTCTTTCCAAGTACCCAAAATCAAACACAATTTTATTCTGAAGTCTTTTCGGCACCGCGCGGAATTATTTACGGTCGATAAAAGCTAAAGGCCAGAGGCAAATCTACGGAGTCGAGTATTTCAAGTCGATACGGTGTCATTTAAAGTCTCTAACTTGTCGAGGACAAGGTTCAATTTGAGTACATTTCCTCGCTGTCATTAAACGCTGCTTTGTGTCAAACTTTCGGGAGAAAAAAAATGAATATAAAGTTTATAGTAGCATTTTATGGGGCACATCGATTGGGTCTAATCTCATTCCTCTTCTTAAAACAGTTAGGGATTTAGACGAATTAAACAGTGTGGATTAAGATAATGTCCTGGGCGAAAGAAAAGATTTTTTTTCTGCTTTTTCTGAAAACCTGGTAGTTTGACATATGACATTGACGAATGAGGGCGGCAATTTGCACAACACACTTCTCTCTCTCTCTCTCTCTCTCTCTCTCTCTCTCTCTCTCTCTCTCTCTCTCTCTTTCCACTTTAATCTGCAGGTAATTGAGTTTTCATTGAGTACGTCATTTTTTGGGGTCAACAGCTTAATCCGATTTTGTCCGCATGGAGATTGGACGAGAAGGCCCGAGAGAATGTGTTACATTTTCTGAGTCGGATGCACACTTGTTCGACTGGTCGAATCGACATGATCGGATCTGAACTGAAAAAGTCAGCGTAGACATAAGGCGTGCCAAACAGGATTCGTTGAGAATGAACTTTAACCTTTGTCTATTCCGGTGAAAAATAAAATAGAATAACAATTATAATTGAAAAAATACCTTGCCATTTTGTTTCCTTTCGACGACCGTGATTTTCTTCCTTGTTCAAACTTTTTGATGATGATGATGATGATGATGATGATGATGATGATGATGATGATGATGATGATGATGATGATCCCTTAATCGCAAAGAAAAAAATTGAGTAATCTTGAACATTCATATCACCCCCCCCCCCCCCCCCATAAAAAAACAACTACCAAGCTATTTTACCTTTTTGTTCCTTACGTACAACATAACTTTCTTCACAAGGCGATGAGAAATTAAAACGTATCGTGTCTGTACTCAAATAAGCAGATGACATTACCTTTTTACAAATATAAACGTCTGTTTTAAAACTTTTTTTTTTTTACAGTTAAGTGGGGGGGTTTTCAACCACCCCCACTTCACACAGCAAAACCAACTAACCCGAAATGTACCAACTTGAGTCCCGCACGCTCGTAATACTTTTATTATTACGACCTTATTATGACCTTGCAAGCGCCGTAAAACGTTTACCAAACACGAACTAAACCCCCAAAAACAAAACAAAACAAAAAAAACCTGTATAGCTATTTTACTTCCTCCCTCCTTACAACTGGTCGCTTTTAAGGACAAGCTTGCTAACCTAGATTTTTGGGGTTAGCAGAAATCTTGACCTACGGTACACCAAAAGTGGGCATTGCCCTACCTATAGCAGAAGTTTGGTTACATTGGTGTGTATATTTATTTGGTTATAGAAAAAAAACTCTCCTTGTTTTTTAAAGAAATTGATTGACACTCGAATGACCAAAATTGAGTCGATAGCGCCGTAAAACACCTACTCAATCAAAGAATTTAATCAAGGGGCAAAAACTTTACCTTCGATTTTCTCAAAACAGCATTTTTCGAGATCGTAGCCCCCATCGTGCTTAAAAGCGACCAACTTAACTTACTTCCCCAAGCGGCAAGCAATTAAGGCGTATAGCCCGCTTCCCCTCGGCTGTAATGGCGGCGCCAGGGGCAATAACCGCGGGCAGCTGTGGGTGGCTTATCACTTCCGCCGGCGGGGGTTGGCGCATCATGGGCAGATAATCATCAAACAAGGGGAGAGCATTAGGGTACAAGGGGCAGTTACTCTCGTACCAACTTACTATAATACTCTGGTCTCTCGCAGCGGTGTATTGGCTCGCCTTTCGTTCATGGTTTTTTTTTCACTTTTTGTTTTTGTTATTGCTCTATTTTCTTATTTTTGTTTATTTAAGCTTTAAAAAAAAAAAAAAACTTAGTTCAGTAGCAGAAGTGCTGACCACCTGTTCTGTTCGTTGCTCTCTGTTCAAGGTCATTAAGCTGAGGTGCAAAACCTGGGTCGGACAGGTGTTGAGGAGAGAGAGAGAGAGTGGAGAGAGAGTGAGACAGACAGACAGACAGACAGACAGACAGACAGACAGACAGACAGAGGGAGAGACAGAGAGAGAGACAGACAGACAGATAGATAGATAGATAGATAGATAGATAGATAGATAGATAGATAGATAGATAGATAGATAGATAGATAGATAGATAGATAGATAGATAGAGAGATAGAGAGAGAGAGAGACAGATAGATAGAGAGAGAGACAGACAGAGAGAGAGAGACACACACACACAGACACGCAGACAGAGAGAGAGACAGGGAGAGAGAGAGAGAGAGAGAGCGGGCGATTCTGTTAGCCGTTAAGACCTCAGGTTGAAGGAAAACACAGGCCACCGCTCAATTATACTGACATTTTCAGCCTGGCTTTTTGTCCAGGTTTTTCGTTTCTCGTTCTTTTTCCGAGGTTATTAAATTGGGGCAGATAGATAGAGAGATGGACAGACAGGGACAGTTTGCATGTCTGTGCGCATGTTCTCGTATGAGTTTGTATGAGTGTTTGTATGTGTGTGTGTGTGTGTGTGTGTGTGTGTGTGTGTGTGTGTGTGTGTGAGAGGGAGAGAGAGAGAGAGTGTGTGTGTGTGCGTGCTGAGGGGTGTTTGTGTCTACACGTGTGTGTATATATGTGAGTGGTTTGCCAGTATGTGAAAGAGAAAGAGAGAGGAGAGAGTCACTGGCCGCGCATATCGCAAAGCCATCTGGCAAGACAGTACAATGCTATCTGATCGCACATTGGACAAAGCCACCTAGCAAGATAAAGGACAGGGACATCTGACCGCACATAGGACAAGGCCATCTGGCCGCACATAGGACAAGGCCATCTGGCCGCACATAGGACAAGGCCATCTGGCCGCACATAGGACAAGGCCATCTGGTCGCACATAGGACAAAGGCCATCTGGTCGCACATAGGACAAAGGCCATCTGGCCGCACATAGGACAAGGCCACCTGGCAAGACATAGGACATAGATCTGGGCCTACCTGAGCCTTGATGGCGGCCAGCTGAAGGTTGGCCAGACGTATCTGGTTCCGCTTCCGGCACATCTCTAGCTGCGTCTCGTAGACCGTGCTGTACTGGTGGCGGGCCAGGTTCCTGAGGCATGCACGGCGAAGGGGCACATACACAGTACACACACACACACACACACACACACAGGACACATACACAGGACACATACACAGGACACACACACACACACAGGACACATACACAGGACACACACACACACAGGGCGGACACACACACAGGGCGACACATGGCGACACATACACAGGGAGGACACATACACAGGACACACACAATGGGCGGACACACACACAGGGCGACACATGGCGACACATACACATGGAGGACACACGGGCAGACATGGGGGGAGGGGGAAGAAGGGAGGGAGGGGGAGGAGTAGGGGGAGAAAGGAGAGAGAAGAAGGAGAAGGAGGAGCGTGGTGGGGGGAGGGGAGAGGAGGAGGAGGGTAGAAGGGAGGGAGAGAGAGAGAGAGAGAGAGAGAGAGAGGAGAGAGAGAGAGAGGAGAGAGAGGGGGGGAGAAAAGAGAAGAAAAAGGACGAAAGAAGGAAGAAAAGAGGGGGGAGGATGGGTGGGAAGGGCAGGGGGGGGGAAGAGAGGTTAGGATATTAGTATGCATGCATTCACTCATCTACGTCACATCTAGTTATTTTTGCAACTCAAGAAAGCTCATGTGACATTTTCGTCTTAATTTACCCCGAAAACCTATAGAGTTTCCGCCCAGAAACGAACAGAATTAAGAAATTGAAAAGCCAGAACATGTGTGCATCTCCAGATAATCTCTTAAATGGATTTTGAACAGTCGTTTTCTTCCTTTATATATTCCTTTTTCAAACTTTCCTTTCTTTTTTTTTGTTTTGTTTGTTTTGATTTTTGTTTTGTTTTGTTTTGTTTTCTAATAAACGGAAGTCCTAGCCAAAGTTGTTTTGAATTCCGACTCGAAGAATCGAGGGGAAATATCAGACAAAAATGTTCCAAGAGCTGACAACCTTTCCAAGTGGCTGAGGAAATCATAGAGAACGCAGGTGTGCATTATTTTTAAAAATCGCTGAGAAAATTTGTTTGTTAGTATTTTTCAAAAATCTGTTTTAAAAGAAACCTCTCGAAAGTTGAAGTAAACACACGTTTCTTTGATTTCCACACACGCACGTGATCGGTCAAAACCCCCAAAAAGTTTCTCTTTAAACATCATCTTCTTTGAAACACGCTACTCATTTTGTTTGAAACAAGCAGCTACACTCATGCACAAAGCCAACCTTTTTGTCAAAGCACCAGGTGACGTCACGCAAGCTATATTTTTAAAAATCTTACCGGCTCCTCGGAGTGTGACCTCTGAACCTCCTCCCTCTTCGTTTTGCTGTCTCTTTTCTTCGTTTTCACGCTGGCGGATTTGCCCGTTTGTCTTTTGAGCTTGATGCTGCCCTTTGACCCGCGACCCTTAGCCTCGTCCTCACAATTCTCCATCCTTGACGTCACAAAAATGAGTGTGGGAGACTAAAAGAGAAAGATGAGGTGATGGTTCTGTGAAGCAATACTCCTTGTCCAATCGAATACGTGAAACAGTCGCAGACTTGTCTGCTGTTGCCAAAGAACAAAGATGGCGTCTCACAACGAATACAACTCACAAGCAGGAGAGATGGCCTATCACTCCACTCTCTGCTCCAGATTGTGCTAATTTGAGCAGGAATTTCCTACGGTTCTGGAGAATTTCTCATCACCTCTTGTCCACGAGAAAAATGCGTCGATATCCAACAACTCTGCCTTCACTCAGTCACAGGAGCATTGAAAGAAACGAAGCTACAAAATCGTATATCCACAAATCCAATCACCCTTTGGACGTCATAAAACTAAAATAAAATCCCTGGGGAGATGGCAGAGGTACAATGAGCCAGGTACAGACAAATAATCATTTACCAATGTTTAGAACAATCGTATTCTCTATTCACTCTATGCATGTATTATTATTCGAACTGCTGATTTCTAAAACTAGAAAATGGGGGGTTGGCAGGTGGTCTGCTGGGGTTTACTTCCTCTTTCGAATTAAAAAAGCGACTATCATCCTTATCTCTCATTTTTCTTTTCTTTGTATGTTACTCTCTAGATAAAAACATCTTTTAATGTAAATGCTTTCTCGTCCTTATCGACAAAATCTAGATTTTTAAAAAACTGATCTAACTTTTGTCCATTAAATGACCTATATCATTTTGTTTCATTGCTTGATGAACTGAACGACCATTCTGTCGATAAAAAATATATTATAGTAATCCGTGGTTTATAGATGGTAAAGGAATTACATAATATATTCATAGGACTGTGTCCGAGTTCTGAATTTGGGACGAAATCCGTTATAATGTTGCACAATATTGAAAAAAAATGAATTGGATTTACATACTAGGGTAATTGTAGCAAACAGACCACATGAAGTTCAAATATGAAAATAACTGTTATTTTATCAATATTATTCAAAATCAATGTTATAAACCTCACAGGTTCCGAGCAAGATATTTTTACATCACATTAAAGATGGCCACCCTATGTCACAAATGTTTGAATGATAATGCACTATCATATTTATCAAATCTTTTAAGACTGTACATTCCAACAGTTTAAGGTCATCAGATGACAAAAATAAATTTATTTTACCATCTATAAAACTTAAAACAATGGGTGAAAGGGCATTTGAATACCAAGGCCCCAAGATCTGGAACGCTTTACCAAGTATTTTAAGAGAGACAAAATCTTTTGATTCATTCAAATGTCAGCTGAAGTCGTTTCTATTTTTAAATTGATAAGATGAATATTTGGAAAAATTTTCTTTAGTCAGAACACAACGTTTCATGTTACTGTTGTACGTTGTACTGTATTGTAAAGCGCTCAGAGCCTGTGTACTTTATTCGGGGTGGAGCGCTATATAAATGTCATTTATTATTTATTATTATTATATTTTCAAATTCTGTTCATGTCATTGTTGTTTCTTTCTCCACAAATGTTGCCACTTCTTCAACTTAATAGGTCGTCTTCTAAATTAAGAAACTTTATGGTAGGGCAGACATTTAAGTGAAGAATTACAGGTTCGTCAAAATGTTATTTGTTGGGTATTGTTGTTGTTTTTTATTTGTTTTTCTTTTGTTGTTTTTTTATTTTTGGGGGGGGGTTG